GACATAGCACTGTCTGTCTTACCTAAGATGCTCTTGTTTTCCCCTTCAGAGGGAATGTTGAGGGGGCTTTTAACAGCCTGTTTCAACTACCGCACATTTTAGTTACCCTATAGGAGAAAAACGCATCCACCCAGAATGAAACGAGCTCGGGAGAAACCGAAAGGAAACCAGAGGAGTGCGGAGGGAGGGAGGGAGGGCCAAGGGCGCGAGAAGCGCCCGCGCCACCTGCCTCGCCGGCGCGTCCTGCGCGCGCGGCCGACATTTAAAGAAAAGGATGTTTTTGGCGCGCGGAGGTGTCGTCATCGGCAGGGTGAATCACCCGCGGAAATGACTTACAACTGCAGCCCCGCGAGACGCTGCTGGGGAGCGAAGGGGCGGGGGCCCGCGGGCTGCAAATAAGGTTCCTTTTAAACCGAAGCCTTTTCCCCCTCCACCGTCGCTTCCCACCACCCCACCCGTCTCTCGGGTTCACTCACCTTCAAGTGCCCGTTGCTCCCAGTACCGCTGTCGGGGCTTCCCGCTTCTTCGTCGTCTCCAGCGGAGCGCACCACGGCGCTCCGGAGCCCGCCGCCGTTACCTCCTCCCTCGCGGAGAGGCTGAGGGGCGGCGGGCGGCGGGCTGAGGGTGACGTTGTGCGCGTTTTCCCCCCAGCGCCATGGGTAGACCATGAAGTCGCTGAAGCCCGGGCTGGTAGGGATAGGTGGCGGCGGCGGCGGCTGCACGGGCATGCGGGCGGGATCCTCGCTGCTGGCGAGCGGCGGCTTGACTGGGGTGGTTTTGATGACCGAGACCAAGACGCGCTTCGGGGAGCTTCCCGGACACACGATAACGGGCGGAGGGCCCGGCACCTCAGACATGCTGCGTCGGTCCGAGATTCTTTTGCTTCTCGATCCGCGGGTCGCTGCTACCGCCTGTACCTCCGGGCGGGTGCTTCCCTTGGCTGTTTCCTTTGGTGGCCGAATAGGAACGCCTCAGGTGTGCATGACAGGAAGACTCCTTCCTGCAGATGCCAACCCCGTGCAGTCTCTGCCCGGCTGCCTGAAGCAATCGCGGCTTCTCACCATCGGCAGCGGTAACCCTCGACCACCGCTACAGAGCCCTAGATTTTCCCGCGTTACATTTCGCGCCTGGGCGGAACCAATCGTCGAATCGGCTGCACACGTCATTGGAGTGGCAGCCCCTCCCAGCCAATAATTAAGAAAGGCAGAGCCTACTACCCTCGGTCGAAAGGCGAACCGCTTAGAAAAAAGACGTGCTGGGCGTGGCTTCGGGGTATTCGGGTCCATCCATTGGCTGACATTTTACGATACTAGCCAACAGAATTCGAAAATTGCCTGGGAAGGCGGGTCACCGGTATTAATCAAAGCCGGCCTCCATCTTTCCCCATGTGAGCGGTCTGATTATGAGTGGTGGGAGTTGGCTGGCTGGAGGGAGCATCTCTTTTGGTGGTAGTGAAAATGTACCGCAAACCTATTTTTGCAGCAGATGTTTGGACCCAGGCTTCGGCAAAGATCCCTCGAGCTCAACTTATAAGGCGCGCTGCGCCGGTGTACCATGTGATCTCTTAATCATGTGATGCATTTAAAGAGCAGAATGCGGGAACAGCAAACACGAATTGCAACTTCAAAAGCTGTTCTGTTTACTCGAAGAGCCTGAAAAAACGCCTGAAGCGAAGTCTTTTGAGTAAAGTGATTTTGACACCTGCCCATTACCCAGTCTTTGCCGTCAGAGGCTTGACATACTTTTTAAAGCTCAGCTGTCCACACTTATCCTTTCTCATCCAAGCATATTTAATATCTTCTTTGGAATGTGTCGATATCTGGAAGATCTAGCCATGATGACACATGCCCTGGTTATGTAAAAATTGGATTATTGGAATGTGTTCTGTTTGGAACCGTTTTTTCAGGATGTTTGGAAACTTCAACTTGAGTCAGAATGAAAACAGTCGAAAAGTTAGTTGGGTGCTTGCAGAATCATATTAAAGTTTGCCTTGCCAATACTATGATGATTACTTACATGCTTTGGAGCAACTTCAGTTTTTATAATGATTTGAAGCCGTAAGGAATTATTCCTGAACATTTTATTGATATCTTTTATCACATTAATCCTGCTATCTACTATTGGATGAAAAGGCTTTATTTTTTTCTAAAAAGATAGAATGATTAAAACTGCCTTGCTAGACCCATCTTATTGTACCATTTTATTTTTTATAATGGGCAAGCATGCCTTACAGTTGCTTAAAAGCAGGAGATGGAGACTTACCACTTGTTCTCCAACTGATTTTAGAAATATGCTGCAGAGGTGTCTGCAGACAAGTAAAAATGGCAGTCACAACCCTGGTTGTAATTTTGCCCCTTATATGTGTGTATTCCAAATGGGGGTAACAATGAGTCCTCCACATTAATAGCATACAACAGGCAGTATGTAGGACAAATAGACAGAAGACTAGCAGGCCGCAACTATGAATGCCAACCAACAGAAGGTATAAAAACTCATGAACAGATGTAACCATAGTTTCAAATGGGAAACAGTATCCTAAACCAAGTAAAAAAAAAATCCTAGAGAATTCCTGTAAACTTGGCACTCTGACAATTCATCCATCAACAGTAGAGACAAGTAACATCTACTTGTGTATACCACTCAAAAGACAATCAAAATGCCAAAAAAGAAACAAAAAGACCAAATCATCTCATCAGTAAACAACACCCAGATGAGCAGAGATTAACACCAACATTAACAGACCAAGATCAAGCAAACGATATCCCAGTCAAAGAACTACCAATTCAGACAAACAAGCTAACAATAAACAAAAGCCCAATCAAGGCACAATCAAACCACTCCCACCAACACTGACAAGGCAATAAAATGGGACCAAACCCCACTCTCTACTAATGTTGATTGTGTTAACCTAGTTTAGTAATGAAAGAGCTGCAGTAAAACTAAGTTCAGAGCATCAAGGACCCCACACTAATAGATCTACAGGTGATCACAATGATGAAGAAATCATGTACGTGCAGTGACACCAAGATGCAAATCTCACTGTTTTTGTATTTGATTTCAGATGCAGATAGGTAGATTATGTACTTTGTCTCGTCATGCCATGACATACATTTCCCCACCCTGCCCATGCCTCTGTTGATAATTTTTCAGCTTGCACTTTTTGTTTAGGAAGGCACGTGCGTGAGTGTATAGTACACACATATAATGTGTGTGTTATTTTTCTTTTTAAAAACTCATTTTTATATTATGATTTTGGTTGCAGATAACTGTTGTGATTTACATGCTAACATCAGAAGGGCAGGATATAATTATATAATCTTATTTTATAAAAATATAATAAAATCTGTTTAACATACTACAATTTGTCATAGTTCAGGTATAATGGGCACATCCCAAATAATTCCATCAACTAGTATTTTTAATGCTTCTGGGAAGATCAAGGAAATGTATGGGTGTGTCAGATTAGAAGCAGTAAAGCAAGTGAAAATATTGTGTTGATAGGTGCAGTCAGATATGTTGCCATGATATTGGTGCAATAGCAGTAGGAAGGTGCTTTCCTTAACTCTCATTCACAATTCAGTGAAATGACCTGGGGTTGATTTTGTAGTCTGACAAGTTTTTAATACTCCCTGAGAACTTTGTTCTTCCTGGCTCTCTCCATAGTAACTGAAGGAAGTGTTGGACAAGATGGCAAAACCACATCTTGTTGGTTTGGGAGAGCCAAGAAGCCTGATGCATATTTTTACATTCATACAAAATGACATAGATTTAAGAAGCATGCACAAAAGTGTCTTTAATGGAAACCCCTTCCTCTCAGCAAGTTTTCAATTTGAGGTTTAATTGTATAAATGAATAAATCTCATCCAAACTAGTTAACATAACAAAAGAGAGGATATTTAGCTTAAGTTTCTAACTGGTCTTGTCTGATCTCAAAAAGTTGTACAATAAACTGGTATTGATCAGTTGATCAAACCTGGGAAAAAGGAATACAAGCCTCTTCAATATCGCCAAGGAAAATACATGGACATGTGTACAGTATTCAGTTGCCATAATGTCTATATCTGGAAAGTTTTAAGCTAAGTATGTTTTCAGTATCATTTCAGATAAAATAAATATTATGGCTAAAAACTATTGAACATTGTTGCTAGGTCCAAAATTAAATACCATGAAATGCTTTTGATTAGTTTGAGGGACGGATATGGACTCTACTTTGCCAATGTAACAATAGAGAAGTCCTAAAGTAAAAACTTGAAATAGTAACAGCATAATATTTTAGTAAGAAAATGCTTGACAGAGAGATGGCATATAAACTAAACTAAAATGATAAATTTGGGAACAGCTTGCACAACGTTTGGAATTAATCTGTTTCTAACACAATATTTATTTTTTGCTCTTCCCACTTGAACATTAATATGTCCATATGCACATGGAGTCAGGGTGCAATGTAATTGTTAAAGGCATTTAACTAAAACCAGAGAAATTGAAGATCAATAGAAGAGAACATTTGTAGCTCAGGGTTGAAATATTACCTAGTTTGGGTAATAAAGGGTCTGCAAAGTGAACAACGAAGCTCACATAGCACACCCATCAGATTCAAGATCATCTTCAGCCATTGGACTAGTCACAGCTTCTTCATTTTAGAGTGATTCACTGATGTTTCAGTGTTAGATTCAGTGTAGCATAGCAGTCAAGCAGCACTCAAACCCCTTTCTCCTAATAACTCCAGGCTCTAACACGTGACGCCACAGACGCTCTACGTCATCGACTAGCGGCGTGGGAAATTGTTGAGAGGTGGGGATCCCATGTTTTCTTTGCTTGAGTGAGGCAGAATTCCGGATGCTGATTGGTCAATGTCTCTACCCGTTTGTGAGGCTCATTATTGGGTAGGACGATAAAAAGCGGAGCTGTGGATTGGTTGTTCAGGCAGGGCTGGAAGCATTGGTGGCGCGTCGATTGGTAGCGCAGTCGGACGGGGCGGGCGAGTGGTCATGGCGTGGTTATTTGGGCCGTACTGAAGAAAGCTTGCTTCTTTCTGTCGCATTCGGGAGGGGGTGGGTGCTGCTGCGGCGGCGGCGGCGGCTGACGGGCACCACGACAATGAAAGGCGCGCTGGCCAGCCCCGTGGCCGCCGCCACAACTATGCAGGAGAGCTTTGGCTGCGCCGTCGCCAACCGCTTCCACCAGCTGCTCGATGATGAATCCGACCCTTTCGACATCCTCCGGGAGGCAGAGCAGCGCAAGCAGCAGAGCAAGAAGCGCGAAGAAGCGGCTTTTTCAACCGGCAGAAAACCTGGCCCCGGAGGAGTCGCTGCCGCCACCTCTATCAAAAGAGAATCCCAGAAGGAGCGAAGAGGCTCCCCGTTCTTGCAGTCGGAGAGCCCCCCAGCACCCGGTATGGAGCGGGAGGGGGGCTTGCGTGGACCAGGAGGTGTGATAAGCAGGGGATGCTGCTGGGAGTGGGAAAGCGGCCAGTGGTGCAGACCGAATCCGGCGGGGCTCCCTTCTAGAAACAAGCCTGCTTTGATAGTCTCCCCCTTTTGCCCGTAGAGTCGGTGACTCGCATTGCAGCATTAGAAGCTCCTTTTTACCCCGGCAACTCTCATTCATTCCCACGAAACTCCCTTCTAGGTAATGAGCGGCGACCGGCAGGCTTAACACAGGCAATTTGCTCCAAGGCACACTTAAATTTGGGCGTTCGTTAAAGCAGTCTGCTCAAAGCGATGCGAGCAAGGGAATAACAAGAAATGGTTTATGAGGGGTTTCTTTTTTTTTGAAGTATTGGAGACGGGCAGTCGCCGTTTGGGTTGGGGGGGGGGGGGGCTCGCGCTCGCCCCGGTCCTGGCCCTTTGCAGAGCCCGGGCGCACGTGCGCTCTTCCCTCCTTTTTCTGCCTTTCGGTCAGTCGTCGGTGGTGCTTGCCTGAAAATACCGGAGTGGAAGGGACGCGGGCGGAGCAGCCACCTGCTGGCTTTGCCTTAGCTCGTGGTTCCTCTCGCTGCGCGGGCCGGGGCGACTTCCCCGCGTAAAGGCGCGAGCTATTGTGGCGTCTGGCCCGAGATACATATATATTTATTTTCCCAGTGGCGTTTACTGCAGGTGTTGCATGTGCTGAAAGCGAAGGGCGGCTCTAAGTTGCCGTTGTGCTCGGCCTCCGCCTTCAGATGTAATTAACCGGGCTAGTCGGCGCCACCAAATAGCGAAACCTACCCCGCCCATCGCTTCATCAGCGGAAAGGCGCTTTCCACCAAAGCGGGGTTGTGGCTCTTTTCAAGGCGCGGGTACTTATGAACTGGTCGGGGCTCCCAGCAGCCTTAAACCCAACCGGAAAAGGGATGTCATCTTAGTGGAAACAATTTTACAATACTTTTGATGTTTTTTAAATGATGAATGAAGATTCGTTCATTCATTGAATCATTGTTTAAAACTCTCTTTCCCGTCTTGAGAGCCAGAGCCTTCCCCACCCTTCTCTCACTAATCTCCTGGAGTCATTCGGTGTTCCAGTGAATTATCATTAAAAAAATATATGAATGAAACCAGTTGGGGATTTCGGTTCGATTGGGGAGTGTGAAGGATGTGTGTTTGGGTTTATTTTCATGGTCATGATATGCACTGAAGATGGTGTTTGATTTTGTTGTAAGAGGTGCAATGACAAACTAAACTAAACGTTAAAAGTCAAGTAGCAGGTTGTGTACCATGAAAAATATGCCAGAAATAGTTTGGGTACTAGTTTTCTCTTCCATTTTTATTTATTAATGAAACATAGTGCTATCTGGACCAATGAAATTCCTAAGTATTTATTACTGTATCCAGATACCAGCGGCTTGAACCTGAATTACTGTACTCGTGGGAACCACAGTGTATAGTCTTAGTAGTGTTGAGTGCCTTACGAACTACAGAAATGAGTTGTATTTTTTATATAAAGGTAGTGTGACTTTGACCTACTATCACAATTGAGTCCAAAATTTATGCCGAGACATTTTTTCAGTGAGTTTTGCCCCATTTTCTGACTTGTCTTGCCACAGTTGTTAAGTGAATCATTGCAGTCGACAAGTTAGCAACCCAGTTGTTAAGTGAATCTGGCTTTCCCATTGATTTTGTTTATCAGAAGGTCGCAAAAGGGAATAATGACCTTGGGACACAGCAACAGTCATAAATAGGAGCCAGTTGCCAATTGTCTGAAATTTGATCACATGATCTTGAGGATGCTGCAAAGGCTATAACTGAAAAACAGTCACAATTCACTTTTTTTTCGGTACCTTTGTAACTTTGAACAGTCACTAAATGAACTGTTATAAGTTGAGGACTACCTAAATTCACACACATACTTTAAAGTCTCAGAGATATTACCAAAGATGGACTTTCCATATAGATTATATTTATAGGCCTGTATGAGGTGGTTTCATCTCCACGAGGCCTTTAGTGCTATAGTAGTGGTCTCACAGGCCATAGTTCTTAGTTATTATGTCACTCTTAGGACTCTCCTGATGCATAGTGGATGGCAATAATTGGTGAAATTACAAGAAGCACTGATAAACTGAGGTGGGGAATCCAAAGCGCTTTGGTTTTAGAAGAAAGGAACACTGTGCTGCCCTATCCTCTTACAGAAATAATTATGGCAGCACTGAATTTCTATCACAGAACTACAGTAATTTGTAGGGCTGTACATTTGTTTAGATTTGATAGGGAAAAGATGCTTCTGAAGGATGTAAATGCCTGTTGGCAGTTTTTAAAACTAAACACAACTCACTTATTAGTATTCCATTTTTTATAGTGTGTACACACACACACACACACACACACACACACACACACAAAACCATTATTCCTGCCTCCTGTTTTAGCCACAGTGATAATAACTCTGTGTGGTGGGTTAAGCTGAGAAAGAGAGTGGCCCAAAGTCGCCCAACCAGCTTTCATGGCTAGGGGAGGCCTAGAATCCTTAGTCACCTGGTTTCTAGTCCAGCACCTTAACCATCACACTAAACTGGCTCTATACAGTAGACCAAATGACAGCTACTTTAAGGAATTGCAGACAGATGAGACATCTGCACCCTCAAGCAATCCAAATGGCCTTTTATCCTTTGAATTTCAAGTTATCCAAAGCTCTAGTAAGTTTCATAACTGTGGAAATTAAATTGAGGTATATTACTTAAAAGATACACCTGAACTAGCAGTTTCTTTTTGTTCTTATGTTTCCGGGTATTGAGCCAAAACTAACATGAACAAATAAGGAATAAGAACACAGGCTCTTCTTTAAGATATGTGCACATTTTGGTCTAAACCACAGTATCTCAAGTCAGCAGAACTGCATATTTTCCCCCAGTCAGCGTCTGACCATCTTTTGAATAGTATATGGATATTTGGCTCTGTAGGAAGAGAGTTTATGGTCTCTACAACAAAATGAAGGCTTCATTAAGCCTCCCCAGCATCACCTTTGTGGCTTTTAAGAGTCTACAAAATGCACAAGATTAAAGTTTAGAGCAGGGGTGGCAAGTTTTAAGACTTGTGGTCTTCAACTGGCTGGCTGGGAAATTCTGGGAGCTGAAGTCTACAAGTCTTAAAATTGCCAAGATTGGACATTCCTGAATGTAAGTTTGTGGGAATAGCTAAAAGGGTTGAAATAGATGTTTTAAGGCAGAAACAGGCTGAAGGTTGCTCAGGCAATCCTACAAAAGAGCTGATGGCTGATAAGCATTAGCAACTCCTACCAGACAACCTATTTCATTCTTTATCTTTGAAAGCTAATTAGCCCAGGTAAAAGACTTCTTATAAATGGATTGATGAATTATAATTGTGTAGATTTAATTTTGCATTCTTTAAATGTACAAGTTGATAACTTCATGTACTGGAATCTATCATGTTACTACAAAATATTTTCTAATGATTCTGTGTAGAGGCATAAAAATCTAATTATTTTGATTTGGTAAAGTTTCTGCAGTTGTTGTCTCAAGCCTGTATTATTTGGCAATTCATGAATTTTTCACAAATTTTTGCAGGCAAGACAGTCTAAATAATGCATCACACACTTACATTTGTTTTTATTCTTCAAGAATTCTCAAATCCAAACTAGTAAATAAACTAGTTGCTTTCCTGTCACAAATTATATTTTTCCAGAGGTAATGTAAAAATGGTCATAAAGCCACTTTGTCTTCAGAGTTGTTTTGGGTTTATAAAAATGTACACTATGTCACAATGCACATATAATTCCTTCATTTTTCAGTGTACAATGTCTTACTGTTCTTGGTTTCCAAATTGAAACCATCTATCAAAGCCGAGAAAGATTGAGTTTCTTGTAGATAATGAACATTAGTTGATTTGCTCTTATTTTTCCTTAGCTTGTAAAATTGCTTTTGGTACATCTGTTTTTTTTTCTCAGAAATCAACTTGAGAAACAGGAAAAAAAGGGTATTTGTGTGATCTTAAACTTAAGATGATGTTTTTATAGGAAAAGAAAAGATAATATTTTCTGAATTGACATTTGATAAAATTAGGTTTAATTAATTTTATTTATTTTATATTCTACCTTTATGATTATAAATAACTCAAGGCGGTGAACATACCTACCGGTAATACTTCCTCCACCTATTTTCTCCACAACAACAACCCTTTGAGGGGTGTTGAGATGAGAGACAGTAACTGGCTCCAAGTCACCCAGCTGGCTTTCATGACTAAGGCGAAATTTTAACTCAGTCTGCTGGTTTCAAGGTTTTCTAGGGTTTTATGTTATTTGTAATATAAAATATATAGGGCTTATATTCCCAATATGTTGCTTTAATTTTATAGTAGATGCAAGGATATTTTAATGAATAAATGATCCTTCATGGACTAGAAGTGTTCAATTTATATGCAAATGTTGATATTTTGTAATTTCATCATTCATGAAAATATTTGTTTATTACAAAACATATATCCCACCTCATGGTAGATTCAATCTGGCTTATAGTCATCAAAACAGTATATTAAAATAACAACTATAATGAACATCAGCATATAAATAGAATTCTTTGAAAAAAAGAAGAAAAAAGCTAATATTAAAACTAAGAACTGTAAGTTTGCCTCTTATATTTAATGTCAGCATATTTTATTAGAATTGATTACATATAATTCTGATATGGTTCTACGATCATTTAGTTTTAAAATATACAGATAGCCCTCAATTTGTGACCACAATTGAGCCCAAAATTTATGTTCCTAAGTGAGAAATCTGTTAAGTGAGCTTTGCCACATTTTACCACCTTTTTTGCCACCTTTTGTTAAGTGAATCACTGCAATTCTTAAATTAGTAACCCAGTTGTTAAATGAATCTGGTTTCCCTATTGACTTTGCTTGTCAAGAGGTCACAAAAAGGGATCATGGACCCAAGGACACTGCAGCTGTCATAAATATGAGTCAAGCATTCAAATGTAAATCATGTTACCATGTGGATGCTGCTATGGTGATAAGTGTGAAAAATGGTCATGTCACTTTTTTCAGTGCCATTGTAACTTCAAACAGTCACTAAATGAACTGTTGTAAGTTGAGAACTACCTGTGGTTCTGTAGCAAATGGCATGCTCAATTAAACAAATACAATCTTCTGTTACATAGGCAATAGATCAGAGTACAGCTGTGTTTGTTGAAGCTAAAATGTAAATGAAAATTAACTCAATAGAATGCAAAACAATATCAGAAGAAGACTTTTAATACAAATATAACAAATGTATATGAAAATTAAAAATCCAAAGAATAAAAGGATACAATAGTAGCATTTGCGTAACATAATTCCATATATTTATTCACTGAGATACTTTGTCAAGTTGTATATAGTACTGCAATCATAGTTAGAGCTCATTAATGGGTTATTATTAAAAGCAATACTAAGAAATGGCCCAGCAGGGGCAGAAGTGTACCGCTTGAGCTCTAAGCTAAAAATTGCAAATTGGAATTTTCCAGGAGGTGATTATGAACTATATGAGAACAGTCATATTGATATCACATTTTAGCTCAATTTAAATGTAAATTAAATTTACTTCCAAAAATATTCTAGTATTGCATCCACTTCTGCGTTCTTCATTTGTTCTAAGGAAGTGGCTTGATTGGTGTAGGTAGGAGTCTGTATAAATGTCTTGTGTTGAAGTATCCTGTTTGGACCTTAACTATTCCATTCTAATAATAGCTGTCTGGAATCTCCACCAATATAGTAAATTGGATTTTGTAAACTTCCTTCATGAAAGAAACGAATGACAAACTTTGGTCAGGTTATTTACCATGTGTTTCTGCCTTCATCCTTTCATTCAACATGATGATTTTGCAAAGCTTCAAGCTCAATGATTACATGCCAAATTTGAATTCTGGAAACCCAAATTAAAAGAACCTCTAATAGTAATTTAATTTGAATAACACCTTGGAATATTTCCTAACTTCTGTTCAAATAAACTTTTTAGTGCAGTTCAGTCTTGAGTTGGTTAATATAAGCAGAATTGATAAAGGGGTTTTGATAACTGTCAGGGTGCAGTGGTGCTCTTTATTTTTAACACTTAGTTTGTTTACTTCAGCCCTTTAATTCCTTTTGCAAATGTCCTCCTGTAACATCAGTCTTAAAGAGACTGTGATTTTGTTTGGGCATAACAATGTTTGTTTGCACCTTGGAAAAAATGCTTACTACCTTTCAGTGTTTATCAGAATTATGGAATCTTGCTATAAGTTAAAAGTATATATATATAGTGTGATAATATTAGTATCAGCTGGGCAACCAGATTCACTAAAATTTATAGTGCAGAGTTGTTGTTTTTTTCCAGAAACAGCAGGTACCGTTGTAATAGTTGTATCCAGTCATGCTCTGAGTGTTGGGCTAAAGTTGATTTGAGAGTTTTGTTTCATTGATCAGTGTAATTTGGGAGTATAGTATGTCAGCACATTCAGTGATGTTCTTGAATGTTCCATAAACGTTCATGTGTTGCTTTAATCTAGCACGGTAGACCTCTTTGTTTCTGATCAAAGTTGTTATTTTCTCTTCTAGGGGAAAAAAAATGTAGTCCTTGATTAAGTGACTAATCATTCAGTGGCCTCTTGAAGTTATGATGGTGCTGAATAAGTAGTAGTTGCATCTGCTACTTAAAATTCTGGCCATCCCAGCATCTCCATGGACATGTGATCATGATCTGAGCCATTGGCAATAGCTCATGCTTATGACAGTTGCAGTATACCATAGTCATGTGATTCACCATTAGCCATCTTCCCTGCCGGCTTCCCAGAAACAAAAGTCAATGGAGAAGGCTGGAATTCACAGGTCACTTAGTTAAGTCTCTCCCAACACCTCTGCACTCATAGAGCATCTTGACAGTCATCCATGCTACCCATGCCACCCTTGTGCACTCTTCACCAGCCTGGCTGTGCTCCTGCCATGCCTTCCCACCTACTTGCACATCCCTATGCACCCTTCTCAAACAGACCCCTCATGCACCTTGCACACCCACTCCAAGCCTTGCACCTATGCCTTACCTCCCCAGCTACTTACATAAGCCCTATTCACTATCCTTGAAATTCGATGTGCTTGTGCTACGCCTCTTTTGGCACTTGCATACCCTCTTGAATCCTTCCTGAACCCTTCTCAACCCATGTCCCTGAGCTGCACATCCCCCACTGTTCCCTCTCCACTCAGCAGCACCCATTTATCAGCCTACTGGCCTACTTGCGAGCTGCTTGGGACTTACAGGTTTCTGCCCGTTTCTCCAACGTCTTTGGTTGTTGGAAGCCAGTGGGAAGTTGCAAGGAGATCCATGCTTAACAACACATGCACCCCACTTAACAACAGCAGAAGGGACTGGCGGGATTGCTAATGCTAAGGAAGGCAGTCATGCTTTATGATTGCATTCGTTAGCAATAAAAATTCCAGTTCCAGTTTTCATTATTAAAGTGAGGACTATCTGTATAGTGAACTTAGAGTTATTTGATTCAGCAATAGATAAATAATGGTGATTTTGTTGTTAAATATTGGAATTTCCAAGCAACTTCTCTATCACTTCGGTATATTTGCTGCTTTTAGCTGCCTTATGATCTAAGATATTGATTGGGACAGAAAGAAAATAGCAACAAAAGCAATAGGATTGGGTGATTAAAGTAAACACGAGGAAATTACATCTGTTTTAAATGTAATTAATGCCACTAATCTAAATATATTGGTTTTCCACAGGCCAAAAGCGAGCTCCAAAAAGGGGAGAACAACAAGGTTGGAATGAAAACCGAGGTACAGAGATAAAACAAGATAAAGCTGAATGGAAACCTTTCAGGGAATACTGTCCTCATGAAATGGAAAGACAAGCAGAGTTTATACTAGAAAGGTATGTATTGTTGAAGGATTTATTATACATTGTAATTTTGGAAAATGTAAAATCTGTTACTAAGAAAAATTAAACTTTTTTTTAACAATATGAAGAGTTAATGCAGATGGTCCTTTGGTTATGACAGCAATTGGGACCAGAACTTTTATCATGCGATGTCGTGTGACTGCTTTACTTATTGACAACAATTCCAGCAGTTGCTGTTGTAATTCCAGGACTTCACAGGTTGTTAAACAGGAAGAGGTTGGAACCCCATACAAGGAGCATGTGAGTGTTGCAGAGTGTGAGTGAAGGATGCTGGCAGGTATTAGAGACAATGGCTAGAAATCATGGATGGGTGCTATGGAATGTATGTGGGTCAGTGAGGGCCAGAGGTGCATGTTGTGGAGTGTGAGCAAGCAGGTGCTATGAAGTATGAGGTCCCTAGTGGGCTTTCTTGGGGCAACTTAAGGGAACAAGTTGTGACCTTGGTGATCACATAATCATGAGACATTGCAACTGTCCTAAGTACAAGCTGGTTAACCAAATATCACAATCATGACAGCAAGGTTATTACAACAGCTGGAATTTCAAGGACCGGTCATAAGTACCACTTGTTCAGTGCTGTCATGACTTTGAATGGTTGCTGAATGACTGGTCATGGCTGCAGGATTATCTGCTAAAAAGACATGTAAAAGGTACATCAAGGTAAATTGAAACTGTAAGATTACAAACTAAATATAAACTACAATACAAACTAAACAAGGGATCTAATGTTGTCAGGAAGATTACAATTTTCTAATGTATCATTAATTGCTTATGAAATTATAAAATGTATTATTACTTAAAATTTAAACATCACTATTAAGGTTTAAGCTAAATTTAACACGTTAGAAGCCATTTACACAGAATATAAATCATTGACTACAATTATAAGATGCAATAAATTGAATGCCATGAATCTAGTTTCCTGTAAACAGGAACATAAACTCTATACATGGAAAATTTTACATTTGAGATTGTGCAAATCTGAGATTCTGTAATAGGGTTGAAAGCTTTAATGATAGAAGTCTGCTATTCTGAGCTGGGAGCTGCTTTGGAATTGGCATAATTAGTAGTTTAATCTTTCTTTAAAATTGGCATCTACGTCTATTATTTTTATTATTATCTGTGGTTTAATGTAGAAGTAGGGCTATTTATTTCTTGCTCTTCCATATAGATAGTCCTCGACCTAATAACAATTCATTTAATGACCATTCTGAGCTACAACATCACTGAAAAAAGTGACTTATGACCATTTTTCACACTTATGACTGTTGTGGTATCCCCATGGTCATGTGATTTACATTCAGATACTTGACAAATGACTCATATTTATGATGGTTGCAGTGTCCCAGAGTCATGAGATCCCCTTTTGTGACCATCTGACAAGCAAAGTCAATGAGGAAACCAAATGCACTTAATAACCTTGTTTAACAGCTGCAGTGATTCACTTAACAATTGTGGCAAGAAAAGTCGTAAAATGGGGCAAAACTTAACAAATTTCTCACTTAACAACATAAATTTTGGGCTCAATTGTGGTCATAAGTTGAGGACTCCCTGTAAATGTACCATGGATATTCTAGTGTTAAGATTTTAACCTACGGAGACTCTCAAGTGCCCAATGAACTGAAATTACAAACTTGTTCAGTGCTGCATTTGGAATTTTGACACAGCTTGTTGAAAATGACTTTCATTATTCTAGATAATGACAACAGATTTAAGGACCAAGGTGTGATAATATTATCTTCGATTTAGTACACAACTAAAGAAGGATCATCCATTTTGTTTTCAGACCAATGGAGCGCTTTGATCGGGAAAGGCCAATGAGAGGTCGTGGGGGAGGAAGAGGCGGATTGCAGGGCAGAGGTAGAGGTGGTAGTATGAACAGGACCTTCAATGGCTTTGATCAAAGAGGGAAGCGGGAATTTGACCGGCAGAGCGGGAGTGACAAAACGTAAGTGCTACTTTGTATGTGCATTTGTCATTTTTAAATCAATCTTTGAGTTCATTGCTAAGAAATATGAGGTTGGCTCCCTATGTTTTATCCTTTTGTCAACAAACAAAATATTTATACAGGAGTTCGGCATGAAAATTGGCTTTGCTGTTCTATGACTTGTAATTGATTAACTTCTAACTTCTTTTTTTCATGTATTTGTTTTGTTAATATGTAAAACTTTTTAATAACCGTTGGCTGCTGTCCTGGAAAATCAGCTGGTCAAAAAAGTGGGTTATATATTTACAAAATAAATAATAGCTTCATAATAAGGAATGTAAGTAAATGTGATGGGAATGCTGATACTTTTGTAGAATTTAATCTTTTATAGCTCTTCTTCTTGGGGATGCTCTCCAGACATGGACTTCAGCTCTCAGAATCCTTAAATGTTGGCTGTAGAATTCTGAGAGTGGAACTTCATACACTTGCTTGGGAAATGATCTCAAACTGGTAAAAACCTATATAGTTCCGTGAAAATACATGATTTAATTTCTAAGACAAGTGAAATTTCGATCTACAGAGGAATCCGTGCAGAAGATAAAAGGGGCGGAAGTGGACCACGTAACTGGGGAACTGCTAAGGATGATATGAGGTATGAGAAATGTGTTAGTAATTTCCAGGGCATCATTTGCACGTCTTCATAACATTAAAGATACTTATTTTAACTATTGGATGCTGACTGAAGAGAAGTACCCTGTCTCTTTCCTACTGTTTTGAAAAATTGTTTTCAATGTACATCTGAATAATATGAAACGTATAGGGTGATTTGTAATGTAACACCATGAGAACCATTGGGGAAGGAAAGGAAGCAAATTGTTATTTGTGAATTTCCTTAATTATCTCACCTTAGATCGAACTTGAGTTTTAGGCAGTTTTTCCTTTATACTTGCCCTGTCCCCACCATGTTTTGCCTGTTTTTTTAATGTTGAATTATTTGCCTAATCTTGGCTGCAGTAAACAGTGCAGAATTTATTTTTCCCTAGGCCTCTTTTTCAAGGGGTTTTGGCAGAGCTGAGATACATCTGTCTCTTTTTTGTCTTAGATTATAAGAACTGAGAAAGAAACTAACATTTGGGTGCTTTCTTCAGCTTTAATTGTTTGGAACAGACATGTTGAGTCTTGCTCCACTGAAAAACCTGAAGTTCCTGTAATAAAGGGATGTAGCCTTGTGGTTATGTTTGTATGTGTGGGTTCACATTCAATCTTCTTTCAAGCAGGAGTTGGAAAAACCCCTTGACCTTGAATCTTTGAAGACAGATGGCTTTCTCAAATTCCAGCTCAGATCATTTTAAAGATTTGTAACCCATGAAGGAAAAGTAAAGATTTGCTTATGCTATGTTCGTGGGAAAACGAAATGATTGAAATTTAAATAGAAAAATGACTATATTTGTCAGTGGTAAATATCTTGGGAAAAGATCGGAGACAGAAGTTAAATGCTTGTATCTCTTTGTTGGCTTTGTGCCACACAGATGGGTTAAGGAGGAAGAGCATGGGCATGCATTTTCTGGGTTTTTATGTGATGAGATTTGTGAAGCCTCTGTTAAGTTAATGACATGCTTCCACTGAGATTCATACAGTGCATAATGCAACATGCTACCTGCAGACTTTCATGTTCGATGAGTCCACCCCAAAACTCTGAAGCAGCTTTCGCAGTCTGATGATGTGAGAAAGTGAGGAACTGTGTCTTTGTTTAGGTCGTGTGAAGAATCCTGTCTAGTGTAGTTTTTGTATTTCACCTGTGCTTTGTTATTTCTACAGTGAGCTGGAACAGACTGCTCCTATGGAAGAGACTGGAGAAACAGAAGAGAGCTCAGGAACACCCGACGGAGAACCTCCAATGAAGTATGACCTGGTTTGAGAATCTGGCTTTTATTGCTTCATAAATCTCTATTAGAAGATCTGACCTTTTCTTGGAAGTTTATTCCAACTGTGTGCCAAGTGGACCTGTTCTCAGTGTGGCCACTAGAAAATGGAATTGATCCTGGGGCATTATCACAATGCTTTAACAATTTCAGCTGATCTTTAGGAATTGTTGGAATGATTGAAAAATATGTTGTGGTTTACCCAGGTGGTTATTAACATGGTTTAAAACATCAGGCTTTGCCAGCTGGTAATGACATGTTGTCAAACAACTAGTGGGCTGTAATTTTCTAAAGTACAAAACCTAATATCTAGGTTAATCTAGCTATTAGGGATGAGATTTTAAACAAATATTCCTTGATTTTTTTAAAAAAAAATCTCATTCCTTCAAGTCCTTGAAGTCTTTATTTTTGTTTTAGTCTGTATTATATTGCCTTTTTGCCATCATTAAACTCTACGTGGTAACAATATGGTTTTAAAAGAGTATTTCAGAGAAGGAATAGCAAGACCCCTAGAAGAAAAACTCTGTTCTTCCTATAAATTAATTTAGAACTGAATAGGTAGCAGAATTGTTGCCATAGGTGCAAAATGTCTACTTCTCATGTTTTAAATTTAGACTGCATATCACCCAGAGTCACTGTAGAGTTGCATAGTTCTTGAATATACTTTTCTAGAAAACTTACGCATTTATCAGGATATATTGATCTCATAGTTTGGAATAAAAATGGATTCATTCTTCTTTTGTTTGACAATGTTTGACCTTGTTTATTCATGAGTATGAGACAGGCAGACAAGCTAATAAAATAGACTTAACATCTATTTTGAATTTATTTCAAGACAGGGATCTATCTCTAGTGTGAGCTACCCCAAACATTAATAGAGACTGGTCTTGATCCTACACCTTGAATTTGCTATAGTAAAATTAAGTAGCATGCTTACTCAGTTGTTACATTTATAATCACATCTTTTTCTGAGTGTTTAAAGTACATTATGTATTGGAGGCTTCCCAATCTCTCTTAACAGCACCCCTGTGAAGTATATTAGTCTGAAAAAGAATGATTACCTTGGTAACCAGTGAGTTGCAACCAAGTGAAAATTTGAATCTATGTTGCTCAAAATTCTAGATGGATCTAGGTTGAGGAAGGCCGCCAGAGGAGTGCAATGGGAGACCCAAACATTTCAGCCTGCTAAATGAGGGAGTTTATGCACCAGGATTGCTACAATCAGTTTAGACTGAGCATTTTTGAATCATATTTGATTTCAAAAGATGAAGGAAGCAGATAGCAAAACTGTAGTATAATTTTTGATATACACCCAACAAAATATAGAGCAGATATCTGATCTAAACAGGTTTTCCTGGCCAGCTGTATAGATTTCCTAACCAAATTTAAGTCTTAAATTTACTATCATTGATCAGTAACAGATATTACGTTTAGCAGGAAACCACATTTTAGGTTGCAAACATTTATACGTGCTATGCTACTTAAGCTATAGGCAACACAATGTGTTATGGACCTTTGTCAGCTCATCCCTCTATATTGCTTTCATTTCTTGAATGAATGAATGAATGAATGAATGAATGAATGAATCTGATATGCTCCAAAGTAGTCCTGTGACATCTCCTTCATCATCTTGGTCAGCCTGATCTCCGTCTGGCTTCAACAATTGCTTTGTTAGAAAATGTATACAGCTGGCTAGGAAAAGAGTGATAAGTCATGCTGGACTGGGAATTCTAAGAGTTGAAGTCCACAAGTCTTAAGGTTGCCAACGTTGGACACCCTTGGTTTGATAAGATGCATTCTGAGGAGGACGGGAAGTAACCCAATTCCTTTACTTTCTATGTCTAGCTATGTCGACAAAACCAACCAATGTTTGAATAAGCAAGCCCTCATCCATGGCACTTATGTTGTTATGAGTTCCCATATGCTTTCAAAAACTTAAACCAGAATGTACTGGTTTCAAAGTGCTTATTTTCCTTTTAATATAATAGGAGCGAAGTCCTTTTAACTTTGTTATCAAAGGAATTTGTTGAGAAAAAAAACATATTTAGAAAAGCCCCGAAAATGGGGAATGGAAGGAGCATCTTACTGAGGAAAAGGCTACAAAAATAGCCTGATGCAGACTGATCATATGGTGAACTGCAAATACTGAATATCTGATCCGGAGTGGATAGGAACTAGAATATGTTTGAAGAGAGCAGACATGACTGATTGGAGCATTGGATAAAAGTTCTGCAAGCTATTGCATTTCTACAAGCTTGGTAACCCATCGTGTGGGGAAAAAAAGCTGTTTTCAGTTAAGTTGTATTCTACCTTTCTCTCACTGCATTTTATAGGCTAATGGTTTTTTACTTTACAACTATAAACCCTTAGAATTGCTGAAGGAGAGCCAGTGGATGAAATAGTTCAAGAGATGACATTGGATGAATGGAAAAATCTTCAAGAACAAAATCGACCAAAGCCCGAATTCAACATCCGGAAGCCCGAAACCACTGTTCCTTCCAAAGCAGTGGTAATTCATAAGTCAAAATATAGAGATGATGTAAGTATTACCTTAGAATTCAGAACATTCTTCCTTTTAACTCTGTTAACATGTGTAGATGTACTAAATTGAAATTTATAGCTAGAGACTGAATAGATTGAAAAAACACTACTAGAACTTATCTCAATCACAGACCTTTTTTTTTGAAAAGTCAGGAACAGTCTTAATGGGGTTTTTTTGTAATTCATTTATAGCAATAAGAATTTTTGGTGCCGATTTTCTGATTTGTGGTTCTTCCAACATATTCAGATTAAGTTTCTAGTTGCTGCTAAGTATGTTCTTTCATTTAGCAGGATGTTCAGCAGAGAGAAAGGGACAATAAACAATGGATTTCACCCAAACTGCCTTAAAGAATGAAGCTGTGTGCGTATATTAACTGCACAGAACTGCATTTATGTAGTATGACTCCATAAATGCTAGAATGAATTGATCCTTTCTTTTCCACTCTGGTGAATTTGTGAAGAATCCTCTAGATGTTTTTCATACATATACACATACTTACATATATGCACGAAAGTATTTGCAAGGTTACTAGAGAAATATACATATTTTTCAAGTTTTGCTGGCTAGTGTAGTAATTTCAGTGCTTAAAAGTCAACTAATGAGAGTAATGAGTCGACATGTACCAGCAGCTGCTTTTTTAGCTTAATCAAGGAGCCTTTTTAAAAAGAAAGTGTCTGTGGAGAATCACCATCTCTTGAGACTGGTTTTTGTGTTGTTTCACTTTATTGTGAGATGAGTCATAGAGGGAGCCCAGTTTCTCTTGGGAGTTCTATTCTCTTTAAAATGTCTCTCTAGTGTCCTTTATTTTTCCAGGGCATGTTTTTTTTAATTTAAAGGCATCATTTGGCTCTTGATGCACTGTTTCCAGTTGAAGATGTATTGGTTTTAACCCTAAAAAACGTGGATGCATTTTATTGTAGGTGCTGAAGGAAGATTTTGAGGATGATTCTCACTTTTCCCGAAAAGCAGCAAATGACATCACTTCTCAACTGGACATTAACTTTGGGAATCTGCCTCGTCCTGGAAGAGGAGCCAGAGGAGCACGAGGAGGTCGTGGGCGTGTCCGAAGAGTTGACAACTCATGGCCAAGGCCAGGAGTGATGGTAATTACCATATGCTAATTCTAATCTCTACTTCATTACTGTAATTTAATTTATACAGCTGCCTGATGAAAATGGCATTGTCCGTGGGCAAAAAGAAGGCAACAGAAATCACAGGATGTGTAGATGTACCGAAAAATCTGCATTTTAAAAAATATTTCCTCAAAACTTACTCCTACCCAAGAAATTACTTGGATCCATTGAACATAATTTCTGAGTCCCTGAATTTTCAAAAGTTTGGGTTGAATAAATAAAGCTAAAAAAATCCCCTTAATATTAATCAAATGTATAGTTTAAAACATTTAGGATAAACAATAAATAGTACTTAGACTAATGCAGCAATTTAATGAACCAAGCCAAAATTATGTGTATCTTAGTAAACGAATATGTAGTTCTTATCCAACTGATCTGGTTTTGCTTTTCCTTTTAGATGCGTATTGCTGCTCCAAACCCAGATGACCCCGAGGATTTTCCTGCTTTGTCTTGAAAGAACTTAGTGACACCTCCAAAATAGCTATGGAAATACTATGTTGCTGTAGAGGAGAACCACTCAAGTCTACAGAGAGAAATGACTTGCGTGTGTGAATTTTGCACTATTATGTTAAGACATACCCAGTGGGTTTGGAGGAAAGTTCTAGTAACACTGGTTTTTGATTAGTTGTATGAAGGCTTTATGGTATCACGTGAGGAATTTCAAATAAAAATTCAGGATGATGGTGTCAAACAGGTAGATGGATGAGTCTTTGTCCCTTTTATCACAAATGTAAACCATATTAGATGGTTTGGGGACAACATGTTTGGACTAGTTGTTTTCCAGGTTCACCAAGTGAAGTGTGTATTTGCCATACTTAAAATTACAATTTTCAGAAGTAGGGTAATGCTCTCACTGGTTGAGGTCAGGGGTGCTATTTTTACATATTTTTATCATTTAATATAGAAAGCTGCAAACTGTAGATTTTAAAGTTATAATTTGGAAATTAAAATTTGAAGAAGGAGGCAAGCTGCAAATAAATCCTGGAATAAATAGTGTTTTGGAAGAAAGGGTGGTAAACTATGAAACAGCTTTGTTTCTAACTAGTTGATTTTCATACACATGGAAATCTATCTATCCGGGAGGCTTTAGAATAGTATTCTTCATAGAGGAGCATTAAATAAGATCACTTTAGGGAAACCCTAAACCTTATATGTATCTCCCACCTGCCAAACCAACGTCAGTTGCATTCTTAATTTATCATTGTAGAATCCTTTTAATGAAGTGGTTGGAGCTCTTAATGTTGCTTATGGTTGATTTCTGATAGACAAAGCTGTTTTTCAGCAAAATAAGAACATTAGAAGCACTATCTCACAAGGAATGGGAGATGTTTTGGTTAAAAAAGTATTCCCCACAACATATGGTCTTTAAAGTCACAAACCTGAGAGGCTGTTCGGTAGTTATGTGCAGTTCCCCAGCTTGCTATATAAGGGGTTAAATAATGCAAAGTAGTGTCCACTGACAACTTCTTAAAATGATAAACTTTATACTATCTCCCACCTGCTACACTAACTTCAGTTTCTTGGGACTGCTCATTACTAATAATTCATGGAAAAGACAGTTTTTGGTTAAAGGAGTTGCTGAAAGGTTTAACCATATACAAACTGAAGCAACCTTTAAAATCTGATGCAATACCCCCTCCTCCATTAAATTTTTTTCACATTTGGATAATCTCACATAAGCAATAGATTTTATTTGTACACATTTTTCTTACAAGTTCTCCAAATTTCTATAATTCAATTACACTGATGAAAAAATACATACTATCAAATTAAAATTTAAACCGTATCAAGTTAACCCTGAAATACATTAACAAAATAATTTGATCTGAGCAGTATTGATTATACCACATAGTTTGAACAAATTGTACACATTTTGAAGACAATACATTTTTAAAAAAATTTCTAAAACTTGTAATTGGGACCTACAGGTAGCAAGTTTTAAGCTTTTACACTGCATAGCTGTCAACCTAGCAATGAATATTTGGATATAACTTTAAAGCGATAGAAAATAAATTGTGCTAACCAATATGGAATTGTAATAGTTCCACGTGAGAATGTAAATCTTTCAGACTAGTTATTTTGCTTAATCATTACAAAGATAGTTTAAAAATTGGGAGCCTTCTTTGGTTTTCAAGCCTAAAAAAATTAAATGGATCTTTTGACCTAAATATTGAATACTTTTTCTGGCCAGATACTAGTACTGCTTATAGTACCGTTTCTAAAACTAGTACTAAATCTAAAAAAGTAGTTTAATCTATTTAAGTTATACTATGCCTTTCTCCCAAAAATGATTCTATGGAGGCTGTCTCAATGTTGATTTGTGTTTATAACATTAATAACAGAGTTAGTGATTCTACAGTCAAGGAATCTTAGTTCTCATGTCTAAAATAACAGTGTTGCACTTTTGTGTACATGTAACAAATACCTTCTGTTGATATTAGTAAAGTTTCTGAGCCAAAATATCTAAGAAAATATCATATTTCCTCCAAGCTAATTAGGGCATTCTGAGTCTGTTGACGCTTAAGTAACCAAAATCAAGGGAGGCAGAAACATATATACTCCCAAATAATAAGTATATTCTATCAAGAACCTTTTAATCTAAGGTTCAAGCATAATCCTATCAGGAATAAGATGGTAAATGGCACTTAGCAGGTAATCACATATCTCTGGCAACTGAAATATTATTTTGTATACTGGCTATAAAGCTGCATGATTTTATGAGATGGCTAGAAATAATCAGGTTATAAAATTAGGGTGTTGGCTATTAGGGGAAAGACTTAGTGAATAGCCGAGATAAGGTAAGTGATCCTTTTGTTTGTCATGGTACAGAAATAGTCGAATTAGTTTTATCAGCACTAATAAAAGCGACAGCCACCTCAATTAATGTACCAAATGTCTATTTAAACTTTATCAGGCACACAAAATATGTAGTGCTCTGATTCTTGATGCTTGAATGTTAGGGTGCAGGACAAATAAAAAATGGGATTTGAAATGTTGAACAATGAGACTAATTCGATATTTAAAATACTAGTACATAGATGGGATGTACTATTTTAGTAATCTGTGGTTAAAAATCTTACATGGTTTTGTTAAATAATTTAGCTAATTTGAAATCACGCCACTTTGAAAATTCTCCTACAGATACAGGTAGGATATATTATAGAGAATAAAACCAGTATCTACATTAGTTAAAATAACATGAATACAGAAATACATCTGACACAACAAAATTGGTATCAGACTTGATCCTAAAACATACTTTGTTAAGTGTATATTGCAATTTATAAAGCTAACCAAATTCAATTGCTAAGAAGAGTATGTGAGGAAATCCTTTAGTAAATAGTTCTTGACCTACAACTAATGGAGATAGCTAATTACAGTCTTAAGTTGTGATGGTTGTTGAGTGAGGCACCCATGTGACTGCTTTGCTCAACAATTGCTATTCTGGCTCTCCAGCCGGCCTTTAGAAACACTGAATTTTGTGGCCTTCTGGCTAGAAAGCCAGCAAATGAGATCTTTCTGAGAGGGGGGAGGGGGGAGGAGAAGGGCTTTTTCCAACCATCTTTAAGAGTAGCAACTTCACAAAGGGCCTCTGGCCTGCACTAGGTGAAATCCATCTAATAGGCAAAATCCATGATTAAAGTGAGATTTTCACACAAGAGTCTTGAAGCATGAACTGTTGGGAGCCAGCCTGGCTCTAAGAGCTCCATGCTGCAAGCACCGTGGACTAAAATCCCTCTTGGTTTTTGCCATGGATCTTTCCAGCCAGCCTCTGAGAGCAGGACTGCTTTGCCAAGGAGCTCCACCTCGCTGGGAGTGAAATCAATCTGGCAGACGACCCTTCTGTTATTTCTGTTGGAGAGTAGAAATGGGATAAAAATGAGCTGTCCCAAAATGGGTCTTGATGGACCTTTTTCAGTCACCCCCCCGCCCCCCCCCCACTAGGAACCAGAGTGAGTCTGTGGCAGCAACCTTCCCTGCCAGCTTCCCTGTTGACTTTCTGAGGAAGCTGGGATGGAACATTGCAAATGGCATATGATCGCAGAGAGTTTGGCAATCTTCAATGGATTGCAAAAGCCCAGATCCCAATTACATGACTGCAGGGATGCTGCAATGTTATAAGTTCAGATGGGAAGTTGTCCATTCAATACCATCATACTTTTATAAACAGTCACTTAATGAACAGCTATAAGTCAAAGACTACCTGTAACCATCTGGGATTCAATTTCATGGTGGATAAAGTAGAACAGAAGTTTAAACCAATCTAAAACTGTTCATATTCCAATAAATATAAATGAAGAACTCTAGTCTATAATGCAGCTGCTGTTAAGTAAATGGTGAACTATTCAACTGAATGGCAAAAGAAGCTGAGGGACAAGCAACCTAAATTTTTAAAAATAAACCCCAAATACTGAAGTAATTTCATGAGAATGCACAGAATTATTCAATTTTGCTTATTAAAAAGTGTTATGAGCAATATTTATTTGTGTTGGGATTCTTTTCAAAAAAAATCAGCAATGAAGGCAAGCAACTACAGCCCATTAAATATGAAGATCAGTTCATAATGAGATAAATATATTATTTGTGCTTATCTAATTAACATCTTGATGTCAACACATTTTTCCAACAATCAAAACTGCTTATATACATGGACATTATTAAATGAAGTATCTAGAAATCAGTTTGACTTACTGGTGCAAGATGCTGGAAAAGCCAAGTGAGAATAGCAAAATTATGGTCAGGTTGTCTATGGAACTGATAATAAGCAGCTCATGCAAATTTCAAGTCAAGCTAAAGTGGAAGAAAACTGACCAGTTTCCACAATACAATCTTGAGCATATACTCACCATTTTCAAGAACATCAGAATTGCTTTGAAGCCCTGAACCTCATTAATAGGCAGGCACCAGAGGGAAGTTGTTACGGATGAATGTGAAAAGAGACTCAAAAATAATGAAACAGAAGAAACTATACCGGAAGTCAGAACAAATAGCAAACTGCCAAGAGAAAAAGCCAAAGATAAAAATCTCAGGAAAAACTTAACAAATTTTGGACAGCTGTTAGAAGAGACAAGCAATATTATAACAATATAGGTAACCAAAATGGACAGACAAGAAAAAGCAAGAAAAAAATCTTTCAAAAGATCCCTTAACTCAAAAGGAAGATGCAGCCCCAAACTGGTATGCTAAAAGATGCCAATGGATATAAAAAGGATCAAAGAAAGCTGGAAGAAGTATGCTGAAATTCTATACAGTAGAGATGTTAATATCCATGATAGTTTAGAAACATTCCTTATTTACAAAAATTAGATGAAGTTAGACCAACATTCCGGTCATTAAGTTGGAAGGCTACCAGAACTGATAGAATATTTATATAAGGTAAGCAATAGAAGGAATAAATCAAGATTCTAATCAAACTGCTGCAAATTTGGAGAATGACATTATCGGGCAACAGATTGGTCAAGAGTAGACTTAACAGAGTATACAAACCTATCACACAGTATTTTTAGGATCTTCCAGCAGAAATTACAGCTATGTGGAAAGAGAAATTATAGTTGTTCAGGTAGATTTTAGAAAAATCTAAAAACCAAAGGACATTGGTGTTGGTATCTTCAAGGTAATTCAGAAATTCATAGAATATAAAAATTTTAATATACATTTGATTATAAAAAGTCCTTCAACTGTGTCAACCATAATATAGAATGGCCTTAGAAAATAGGGAATCTCAGAATACCTCAATGTTCTTGTGTGACGCCTATACAGGTATTGTCAACTTACAACAGTTCATTTAGTGACCACTCAACAACAGCATTGAAATAAGTGACTTATAACTGCTTTTCACACTTGCGACTGCTGTAGCACCCCTGTGGTCATGTGATCAAAATTGAGATGGTTGGCAACTGGTTCATATTTAGGACAGTTGCAGTGTCCCGGGGATATGTGATCTCCTTTTGCAACTTTCTGAGAAGCAGAGTCAATGGGGAAGCCAGAATCACTTAACAGTCATGTTACTAACTTAACAAATGCAATGATTCACCACTTAGCAACCATGGCAAGAAAAGTCATAAAATGGAGCAAACTCACTAACAAATGTTTCCCTCAGCAACATAAATTTTGGCTCAATTGTAGTCATAACTGAAAGACTACCTCTACATGAGATAGGAAGCCAAGTGTGCAATGAACATGATGAAACCAGATCGAGGTTGGTACCAGAGTTAGACAAAGCTGTGTACTCCCACAAGTTGAACAAGGGAGACTGGATTGGGAAAAGATCAGCATGGTTTTAAAACTGGAAAAAGAAACACCAATAACTTGCCCTCTGCTGAAAATGCAAATGATCGGCGAACTCTAGCAATGAAACTTAATGAGCAGAGTGAAAAAAAAATTAGGACTAAGACTAAAGAAGACTAAAGACAACAGATGGAATAAACAGCCTTAAAACTGACAGTGAATATAGGCAATGAAATGGTGAATAGCTTTTGCTTTTCAGAACAGACCACAATAAGGAACAAACTGTCAAGAAATACAATGTACACAGTACTTGGTAAAGTAACAATGAAATCCTTATGAAATACAGATGACAATGTGTCTATGCTTACAAAGATTGGATCATGTAGGCTGTGGCACTCTATTGAAGCAGACATAGGACTTTGAAGAAACGGGATAAAAAAGGCACTGATCCTTGTGACTTTTGGTGGTGGAAGATTCCTGAGAATGCCCTAAATAACTAAGAAAACAAATAACTGGATCATAGAGAAAATGAATCCAGAAATTTCAATTGAAACAAAAGTGGCTACGCTCAAATCATCATATTTTGGACACATTATGTGAAAGACTTTGTCCTCTTGAGAAGTTTATAATGAAGGAAATGAATGGATCAATAAAATTTCTGAAGAGCCAGGTTGGAGACAAATCATGAAGTGGCTGGCTAGATTCAATAAGAGACTTAATTGTATAAATCTCTTAAAAGTAGCTTTTGAATATCAAAATGACTAATCAGCCTAAAACATGGCCCAGGTAGGTCTCTTTAGTACTAATGCTACATGATTTTTTAAGCAAAGCCATGTTCCTAAAATTTAACCATAATCCTACAAGACAGCTGTTCAAAACAGAATCCTAACATTCTTATTGGTATGATTAGCTACAGATATTTTGAGCTTCAGGTCCAGCAAGCATTTTCTATTTT